CGCGTTTCGTCTTCTGGGACTTTATCGGACAAAGTTCTTACAGGTTCGTACAACATTTCACCATTCTTGCCGTATCTTCTATTACCACAATGTCGGATATTTAATAACAAATGATGGGAACATAAACAAAATGAATATAAATGAAATCGGTTAGATCATATACCCAAAGCACATATTAAAGCAAAAAAAATATTATTTTTAAATTTAAAATCTCAGCGACTCTCGTTCGTGCGCAGGTGTAATTGAATCAACGTAAACTAAACATAAACTTAGTTCGATGACGTCATAACGGACCAAACGCGTAATACGAAAACCTTTTCCAATTTGTCAAACTTTTTTTTTTTTTTTTTTTTTTTAACAAATTAAAATTTATTGAAACGAAACAATTACAGTTGACCACTGATGACAATTCCAGAACAAAGTAACAATAAAGATTTTTTTCTAACCTCTGCCAGCCGCAATGATGAAGAAAACATTACCTCGAACCATCGACAGTGAGACACGCTGCCAGAGCCACTCCGTTTCACGAGGCTCGTCCCTTAATCGAGACGCAATCGCGCCAATCCTCCGAAGGAACGACATCGAACGAGGGCCAATAACCCCTGAAAGTCTCCACTGCCACAGGATTAAAAAAAAATCTATCAGTAAGAGAAGGATATTTAACTATTTTTTTCATCTCTGCGTCCCGGGCGATGGATCCTGGCTCAACCGCGGAACTGATCAAATTACCGACCGAAAATTTATGTCAACGTAAATTAAACATAAACTTAGTTCGATGACGTCATAATGGACCAAACGATACGAAAACCTTTTCCACGTTGTCAAACTTATTTCTACCACCGCGACAGACAGACGTACTCCGTTGTTCACTAGCTAAGAATCCATTGGCGTTTCGTGTGGAATACCTGTGTAAATGAAGTCCTAGAGGAAGAAACTCGTATCACAAAAACTTTTTCTAATTTGTCTTACTACTTTCACCTAAAATCTTTCTTGAGATATATATCCTCAGGATGGGTATTGTAGCAAAAATCACTGGTTAACTTTCTTATTCAGTAAAAATAATTTACTCTTCAAAGCATCATTCTAATATATATATATATATATATATATATATATATATATATATGCACTGCTGGTCAAAATCTTAAGGTCAATGAAAATAAAGAAAAAAATATACTTTCTGCGTTATCAGACTATACCATTTATTTAAGTAGGGCTTTAAAAAATGAAAATACGAGAAAGAAAATAAAAATTAAAATCGTTTTTAGCATTTAATATGAAAAAATTGAATACTGAGATATTAGGCCAAATGCTAGCTGGTCAAAAGTTTTAAGACCATACCTAAAAGAAATCCTAAACAGAGTAGGAAATGCCAAGACATCTCACTAGTGAGTTAGACCAGGGGTCAGCAATGTTGCTGCACGCGTGGCACACATGGCACGTCAAGCAATTTTCAATGGCACGCAGCTGCAAATGACATCACAAAGTCCGAACCAATAAATACCACAACGCAAAGAAGATATTTAGCTGCATAAAAGTATACATACTATATACTAAAGTATATATGCTATATATTACTATATAAAATATAGTGACTTGTGTAAATAATAGAAGTAGGTAGGCTTTCCTACCGCCCGGTCAACACTCCTCCCTCTTCTCTTGGACATGAGTAGAGGCTTACGCCTTATTTCTTGTTTAGAAAGGGGTTTCCGGTACTCTCTCTCTCTCTCTCTCTCTCTCTCTCTCTCTCTCTCTCTCACACTGGCCTCTGTATCTCCAGTTGCCTTGATCTATCCACTACTCTTCTCCTCATCCTTTCTTCTATCACTCCTATCTGATCTTGCTCCAAATTTTCTGTAACCCCTTGCGTCCTAGTGGCTTTCCGCCTTGCTTGGGGTGAAACGCTTTTAAAAAAAAACAACAAAAAACAAAACATAAGCATGCTGTTGGCACACTGAATGAGTTTAAAACGCTCAGTCAGCACATAGTCACCAAAAGGTTGCTGAAAAGGTTGTGAATAACTTAAAAATTTCGTTTTGGCATGGTCTATATAAGCATCTGTAGAAGGCTGACTGGATTGTTATTCCAAGTGGTAAAGATGGCGTCACGAAGATCATGCACAGTTTTGGATTGACGTCAATTTCTATAGACTTCCCTTGCCATCCACCCCAAACATTTTGAATGGCGTTCAGGTCAGGTGAACATGCTGGACGGTCCATATGAATCACGTTATTCGCCATGAAAAGTCCTTTGTCCTGTGGACATCATGGATTGCAGCGTTGTCCTGCTGAAAGCTCCAGTTATTTCTACACAATCGAGGGCCTTCGGTCAATAAGGATTCTCTCTGTCCAACATGTCAGTGTAACCAGCCGCGATTTGACACTCGTGTATAATCTGTAGCTCCATTGTTCCTTGGAAGGAGATAGTACCCTAGATCACGATGTGTCGTGTCGCCAGTGGGATATCCTTATCGTACCAGAAACATTGGAAGCAATTTGGACCATTGAAGTCCATTTTTTTTTCTCATTAGAGAACAAACCTCCCCCCCCCAAACACTTTTCTTATGTTTTGCGCTTCTCAGCAAAGTTTAATCCGAGCTGTTTTCTGGACTTTAAAGCTGTTTAAAAAAGCCTTTCTTTCGGAGATGATATCTTATTGTTCTTGAGCTGTATTCTGCATCCGTAAGGACCTTAATCTGGTTCGATGATCGGTTGGTGTCAAAGATGACAACACATCGAATTCTCCAGCTCAACGCCGACGAAATTTTAATTTGAAATTCTTGTTCCGTATTCCTCTGGTCTTTTAAGAAATTTGCAACAGCAGTTTTACTACGTTTTACTACGTCCAATTTCACCAGCGATGTCACGTTGAGAGAGAACCTTACTTTTTCGCTTAAAAAAAATGGATGCCATGACATTAATGGGTTAAGTAGTTTCAGCATTCTAAACCTAGTAGGAGTTAATTAAACTGAAGAAGGTATAGAAGTTACTAATTATTATAAGGTGGCCTCTAAAAGTTTAAGGCTAATACACACACACACACACACACACACACACACACACACACACACACAAACTAGAGTCAAAAGTTTGGGGACATTATACACACACACACGTGCCAAAAGATTGAAATAGGGAAGGAAAGTTAAGTTTCTCATTTAGCTTTTCTTGTACTCTTTCTTTGCAACCATGTTTCCTTTCGCTACACACACACACACACACACGTGTGTGTGTGTGTGGATAAAGGAAAGAAGGTTGCAGAGAAGTTGGCATATCTTAGTATCTATTTGTCTACATTTGTCTTTTATTCTCTCTCTCTCTCATATATATATATATATATATATATATATATATATATATATATATCTTTCCTTTCTCCACACACAGAAACACACGTATGTATACGAGAGAGATAATAAAATATGCCAGTTTGTCTTCAAACTTGTTTCCTTTCTATACACACATACATATGTATATATATATATATATATATATAATGAGAGAGAGAGAAAGAGATGTAGAAATATAGATACTAAGATATGACTGATATACAGATAAGTAGGCAGACCATTAGGTAAAGGAATACATGGATTATGAATAAGCTGAGTGGTTGGGTGGTTTTGGCTGGGAGATTGTGTAGCACAAGAAGAATATATATGAGGTTGATGTGTGCATGTGTTTCGGGTTAATGGGTATGACTGGGTGCTGTTCTTTGCCATGTATGGCATTGGTTTGCCCAGTGACAAATTCTGTTTTGTTCATCTTTTCTTAAAAGAAAAAAAAAGCAGTAGGGTAGGAGTGGGAGAAAATACAAGTAAAGAAGTACCGGTCAGACCTGGTTATCTGTAAGAAATCGCTATGTTGCACAGAACTTGTGCGTTGTCTGTCCGTCATGAGTCAAAGTCGGCGTAGGAAGCAGGGGTAGGGAATGGAAAAGGAAAAAAAGGCTGTCTTTTCTGAATTTCAAGCAGAGTAACAATTGTAAAGTAGACACTAGGAAAGTTATTGTATCCTTCTGATAAAGACCTACCCTCTGCTTCCACATCCGTCACGACTTATACGTTTTCACCTTTTTCTTCCCTCTCTTATTCTTGGCAAACTCTATTTTCACTTTCACTTTCTTTTTGGACTTTCTTTTCCTACTTTCACTTTGACCGCGGACTTTTTTTTTTCTTTCCGTTTTCATTTTACGTTTAGTCTTAACTTTATTGCCAAATCTTTTTAGCCAGGTCAATTTAAGCACAAAACGCAAACACTGGTCTCATGATACTGAACAAAATTGCTGCAAGATTCATAAATAAATAAAAGGATGAGAGAAAGAAAGGGCGGAAGGAAGAATGTACAAGACAAATTGCAAATGAACCAATATAGGATAGATCCTGCAGCAAGCAAGCGGGTGATTGTTGGGTGGAGTAGGATGGTGGGTCATTAGTTTCACGGAGGGCAGAGGTCCAAAGAGAAAAATGTGAACGACGAAATGAAAAAGAAAAAAAAAAAATTTGATGGAAAGAGTAAACTGGGCTTACAAGCCGAATAGAATAAGGGACATACTTCGGGTTGGGTAAATGGTTGATGGGTCAAGAGAAAGAAACATAGACAGAAAACGAAGGCTTGAGGAGAATGCAAAATAAAATAAAGGACAATAAAATAATATAAAATAGAGAGAATGCTAAAGAGGAGGGGTTGGAATAAATAAAATAATAAATAAATAAATAAATAAATAAAAAGAATTCTTCTCCTTTATCTCCCTACCTTCCCCAGGTTGTTTTACTCATATTCTGAGAGTAACTCTAGCCAGGCCATGGGAAAGGCCAAACACGTTTAGTGTTTGGTTGTGACTGGACCAGACTGGACGGCTCTAAGCATGGATGACAGAGACGATTGGATTGGGTCCGGGTTCGGGTAAGCGGCAGGGCGTAGGATTGGTGGTGGGCTGAGACTTTCTATGTGTGTCCGGTCGGGATGGTTGGTTTGGCGGTGGAAGCCTGGGTAAAATAGGGAATGGAAGGGAAGTTAAATTTCTCTTTTCGCTCCTCTTTTACTCTTTCTTTAGCTGCTGCCTCGTTCCCTCTCTCGACACCTATGTTCCCTATCTTTTTGTTTACTTAATTTTTCTTAGTCGTAGGGAGAAGACAAAACCTGGGAAGAGGGAGTCATGGCTTCACTGGTACACGACAGAAAGGGGAGAAAAAGAATTAAATGAATAAAAGTTGACAAATCCCGTTAAAAATGTTTACAGTAATAAAAAAAAATACTATTATGTATATGTAAGTGGAATATATTTTGTAAAGTTTGGGTAAGACCCATCGTCAGAATGTTTTGAGTGTGTGGGGTGGCCCTTAAGCTAGGGAGGCTGCGGCTAAAATTATAGTTCATATTATTTTCACAAGGCAGAGACAAATGATTGAGTGGGTTCTCTAAGGTAGTCCTTGATACACTATAATACTTCTATCTCAAAATTGTTGCTAAATTTCATACATGAAATTTAACAATTACGTGACAAAGTAGTAAAAATCTAAGTTAAAATATTTATTTGTGAATATTAAAATAATGTCAGGTCACTACGAATGCTAATTTTTTTATTAGGTCAAGCGAGCTTGGACATCCATGAGTCTATCACGCCAACCATCACAGTCCTGCATCATGGTCGAAAGGTTGTTAGGGTGGCATTCGGTGTCATAACATAGCTGGTTAATGTAGGTGATTGCTGGGTGACTAGCCCATCTTGAACCATGGCTAGGTGTCCAGAGCAGTAGATCACTTGCAAGTTCTTGTTTTGCTCGCCAGCAGTGTCCTGCAAAGCGTAAGATTCTAGGTGGGTTCATAGAACTGGGGTTTAGTTGGATGTTATCTCCAAGAGATGTTAAGCATAGCACTCAGCATCCGGGTGTAGATTGCATCTAGCATAGACTCAATGTTTTTAGTTAATGCCCAAACAGTGGCACCGTACATTAAAACTGACTCTACAGTGGCACGAACGAAGGTCCGCTTGAGGTTGTCTGATAAATCAAATTTCCAGATTACATCCATTTTTTTCAAGGCGGCACAGTCTTCAGCTATGCGAATTTTCACATTCTTTTCGGTAGAATTTATTTCGCTTCCTAAATATGTAAAAGATTCGAAAGATATTGATTCACCTGAGTCAGTTTTGTACTGACTTGCTGATTGAAGCTTATGAATTCAGTTTTAGAGGCATTGACATAGTTCCAATATCGTTAACAACATTTTCTAGATGATATAGAACTGTGGAATTGGTAATAGTGTCTGCAGTGATATATATGTATACGTAAAATTGTAATACTTTATTATTATTATTATTAGTAGTAGTATTAGTATTATTATAATTACTGATGGTAATATTATTCATCTCCTGTCCAGTGTATGTATTTAACGATTCTGACATGGAACTGGCCATCTTTCTTTTTTTTTTTTTTTTGGTAGCTGGTGAGTTAGTACTAGAAAAATTGGGAAATCCGTATTATCTTCCAAATAATCACGTCATCGGTGATTAAACCAGTTCTCTCACGGGACCTTTTTGGTGAGGAGGGTGGCTAGACATCCAGAGGGATTAAAAACAGTACCTATCAAAGGGGCGGATGAATCTTATAGGATCAACGGCCATATAACACAATGAGCAAACTGAGTACCATAGCGATGTGTGCCGCCAGTTCGATGACAACATAACATTGTTGAGCCGGGGGGTTACCTTGATGGAATCAACGGCCACGAGTCTGTGACCAAGGCGAACCTTCAAGTTGGATGACATCCCTGGAGAAGGAAGGTCTCCGCCAGGTCAAATTGACCATAACACATTGCCTATGAATGAATACTTCTCCGGCTTTCAGCACAGATACTAATCAGATGTTCAGCTGCGCAGCGACCCTAAGACCATACCCAGTGAAGGGACTGATGATGATAAATATATCCTAATCCTCTCCTTTCTTCTAATCCGCATTCCCATCGTATTTCATTAGTGAGATGTAAGTTCCACACTAGCATCCGTTGCTTTGTGGAACCAACTCCCAAGAGGATGCTTCCTCGTTCACTACAGTCTTAATTTGTTCAAGTTTAGGGTTAACTGTTTAGCTTTCCCATATATTCTATATTAAAAAAAAAAAAAACCGTGCCTCTTATTCTGTCACCCTCTACCTTGAGTGGCTATTTTGCCTTGTACAGAGTGAACATCATTGTGAGAAAAAAATAACAGACGAAATCTCTGTGCCATGTTGGAAAATGGTAGTATATTGAAAATCACATAAATAAAATGAACAGCACTTTTTATTGTTTCTATTACGAATAGTAAAATATAGGTTATTCAATGTTTTCTCATTCTCTGGTCATGTTGACATTCACCTAACCTTTTTTCCGTTATCTAGACACCCACAGATATAAGTGGAGATAAAAGCGAAGTGATCTAAAAGACTTATAAATTATGAAAGACGATTTACACATCTCGGATAGCGGGGAAAGCGTAAAAAAGTCCTAAAAATTTCGGCTTTCAGTTGAATTCGAACATTAACTGACGACGCCAGAGGTAAACTGACAACACTCACAGTAATCAGGCAGAAGGCAGCAAATTTAACGATGACATAATGCAAGCAGACACTTGCACATATGTTTTACTTTCCACACCTACACACGCACCAAAAAAAAAAAAAAAAAAAAATACCTTTGCACCACAATAGATATAATCCTGCTTCATCATCAGCAGAGCTGTTTCGACTGCAAATCAGCGTGATTTCTCATCTACGGCAAGGCTTCTCGTTCCCGAACATGCCTATCTGCTCAGGTCCATTTGCATTTCAACGCCCGCGGAAGCAATGAAGCAAAAAAAAAAAAAACATGATAAAAGAATAAGTTATACTTAGAAACAGAACGGGACAGCTTAAATTACTTGAACATATAATGAGGAAAGAAGGCTTGGAAAACTTAACCCTCACAGGGCATATCGAGGGGAAGAAGATAGGAGAAGGCAGTAAGCCATCTACCTAACGAGTAGGTGGGAATGGATTGCGACATTGGGGTGCGCGATACAACACTTAGAAGAAGAAGAATAATGCTGAGCGGACATTACTTACAGTTCTAGTATATATCCCACCATGTCTACAAATAGTTTTGAATTGAGCTGTCCTTCGTCTTGATTGCTTGCTAACCACAGTTCGTGAATCCAGTCTTTTCCTGTTATTTAACCTATTGCCTATTATTCGATCTGACATTAGCGGTTGGTGTTCCAATTCAGTTAATGGCTAAGACTCCAAATGCTGATTTTTTTAAGGTACTTTTAGGTACCAAAATACACGTGCCAACACGATTAAATTATTTCTTTCAGTTCCTCTACTCTTTTCCACATAGATGCCCATACACACACCCTTAGCACGATGCTAATTTTCTCCGCACCTAGATTTTGTTCCATTTTTTAAAATCTCGGCGTAAGGCTTATTTGAACCGGAACGCTTATTATAATTTGAAGAATTCCCACCGGCATGACTATTTCAGACGGTATTTGCATTTGGTACAAAAGAGTAGGTGACGGCCTTTTTTCTTTTTTTTTTTTTTTTTCTTCGTGGAAGAGTGGTTCAATACG